CCACAATCCCTACCACCACTACCACGCGTCGTCTCTTCCACCACCATCTCCCTGACTCGCACTCGACTGTACACTTTCTTTCACCCCATTCAATAACTAGTGTTGTTTAATCACCTGTACAGCGGGACTCCTGCCAATTTACACCAGATTACCTGTACCTGCATAAAATTAAAAGGATCAAATGAGCTGCCCCACTCTCTCACTCCCTCCCCTCTCTCCCTCCTTCAACATAATAACTTCTTGCACACCTACGGCATTACTGTGGCCTCGTTCTCAGCCCCCTACTCCAGCGCTCAAGGTCGGGGATTCATTTTCCTCGTCTCTGGAGCAACTTGTTTAGACAGGTACAGTGTGAGCATTCTTGGTCACGCGCGCACACACACACACACACACTGAGGAGACCTGCCAGTGAATGAGTCGTGTGTTTGTTTCGCTGTTGGCCCAGGTAGGTCGTACCTTACCTCCTCCACCTGGCCCAGCTGAACACACACTACGCACATGTATTCATTCGTAGGACACACACACACACATATAAACTGAATAATAAACAGGTAAGAGAACATTATACACTAATAGTGAGAATATATGTGTGTGTGTGAGGCACGTGGGTAGTATTTCAGGATCATGCTGGTAGTGGAGACAGACCCGTTACTGTACTGTGTCCGCTGCTACACCACATTGCAATGGAGATTTATGAACCGCAGTGTGTGTGTGTGTGTGTGTGTGTTATTGGCAATGGCTTCTTGTTTACAGAAGGAGGGACCTTGTGATTTGAGGTATAGAGATGATAGGTATTAATATATATACTCAAGCAAGCAAGCAAGAAAACAAAAACATTATTTCATCATATTTTCAACTATCGTCAAGAACCATCACTAATAAACAAGAAGTCGGGTATAACATTTAACATTCTTCTAACACCACCACCACCAGGACCTTAAGTTAACAATGATAACTTAACATTCTCCCCCACAACATCACCATTACAAAGCCCCCAGGTTCACATTCTCCAAGACAACAAGCGGAAGAACGACAAATAAAACACCACACACACACACACAGATCTACAAATATACTTGTGAACGAGGCTGACTGCAGAGGATAAAATATAATGTTTAACTAACTCGTAAATATATATCACGTGTTTACAACTATCATGGTCTCTCCTGCGGCCTAACAAGATATATATCCTTACAAGTATTTTGTTTTCATTCATTTTACTAATTTTCTTCTTTCACAAACGTCAAGATGCTAAACCTTAAACAAAATAATCCCAAATAAAACATGTAAAAAAAACAAACAAAAAACCAATCCATTATTATTTCAAAGTTGAATTAATTTAGTGACAATAATAATTAAGGTCACATAATTAATTAGACCAATTTTGTTGTTTTTCATGTTTCCTTCTCTTGTCCCTAGTGTTTCATGTCACAACACAAGGTCAATTGAGTAGTTAAGATATTACTTTCCTGAGAGGGGGGGAGGGAGGGGGTTAGTTTAGAGATTCCAGTGCGGTGGTGGTGGATATATCAACTTCAGGCATAGCGTTCTCACCCCCATCAACAGTGGTATACTTTGAGGTCACCCCCCCCCCTTCTTCTATCGCTCCTGCTCCCATTCCCCATTTTCTTTCCCAATTACTCTTATTCCTCATTTACTTCTATTTTTGTTGTGGTTTCTCGTCTTCCTTCCTCCCCCTCCAATTATTCCTACATACCATTAATTTCTTCTTCTTCCTCCTCCTCCTCCCCCTTCATAGTGGTGGAGCGATCGTGGTAGGGCAGCCACTGACAACCTCTGACACAAGGGAGGGGAGGGAGGGGGAGGGAAAGAGGGAGGGGAGAAGGGGAGGAGATCAACCAAGGCAATAATCATCCTGGTAAGTAAAGATCACAGATGGTAGAGAACTTAAGATGTGTGTGTGTGTGTCTGTGTGTGTGTGTCTTTTATAGGTGTCATGGGACCAGGAATATGAGACAGGTAGGTAGGAAAGTAGGGAGAGGTGAGAAAGAGACAGACCTGGTGCCCTGCCCACACGTGTTGACACCCAAGCCTCTGTTGTGACGGTAACACACATATACCGTCACACAATCTTATGTTACGGTAGAGCCAAACAGACGTTAGAGTACTAATGCCTCACACCGGGACAACTCTCGCCCTATCTTGTAGTCGGGAGGAGGTAGTGACTCAAGCAGAACACGCGGACCCACACCCGTGCAGAGTTCATCAGATATTACCGTACTGTCTATCTTATTTGTCTGTCTGTCTGTCTGTCTGTCTGTTTGTCTCTGTCGCTGGATGCATTGTGATGACTTGACTTTTCGCGTATATACTGTGTCTATTAATGGATTCACTGTGATGACGGAACCCTCACTTAATCTCTTATATATTTTGTCTTTTTAATTCTATTGCGAACGGTTTTTTTTAACTTAACACACACACACACACATAGGGGCGACACAAAATCATTTCCAAACATCACAGACTTTACCCTATACCTACATGGGACTCTTTATCACGTAGGAGCTTCACAAATCCAGGGTATGTAAGCTCCAGGGGTCTACACGTCTTAATGTATATAAGCCGAGGACAAAAATTCGCTCCAGTGGTGAAACTGATTCACGGGAACGAGTCTCCGAACTGATTTACCCTGACTGTTTCATCTCGTTTGGGGTCGACGCTGCTTCATTTGGGGCGGAAGTGAACTTTTGACCCCGAGTGTACAGGTACAGAATCATCCTCACTTTACACCTGGTCACTAGTTCATAAACACCGATAATAAAATACAGGTTGTTTACTTACGAGATATTCTTAAAAAAAAGTTAAATTTCCAGCTGATCGGTTAACAAGTAAGCAAAGGTGTAGATGCTGTGAGGTGATGTGAGGTGAGGTGAGGTGAAGGGAGAGGTGACAAACATACCACCAACACACCACAACACAGGATGGCGGTTCTCAATATATATCAACTTACTCTCAATATATTTTTCCAGTTCTAAGTTTCCTCTACATAATAAGGTCAAGGGGAAACACCAGCACCACCTCTATACCACAATAATTTCCTCTCTATTCACGTTCTGAAATCTCCAGTGTTACGGCCTTGTTATTTCCCGAGTAAACACACACTTTTTTTTTAATCAAACTAATAACAATAACACATCTCCCAAGAGTTAGAGTTGGTTACGCCTCACACCACAAACATCACAAATAAATTAAATGTTTTTCCTTAATGTGTTAAAGTTTAGCCACAATAAAACATAAATCCGGTTTTGTATCATATATACTCTCATAATCCGGATAAATGTGGATCTATTATACACATTTCTTCACGGCTAAACCTTAATTAAGAGACAAAACATCAATAACATTCATCCCACCGAGTTATACTTACACGCTTCAGGCGGGTCATCAAGAAGTTAACTACCCGCATTACTGTACGAAGCTGGGGTCAAGGTTATAACTCCTCTGTGTGTGTGTGTGTGTGTGTGTGTGTGTGTGTGTGAGGGTCTTTGGCAAATCAACATTTTTTGGGGGCGGGGTGACTGGAGAAATCGTCTATAATTCTACACCAATGATTGAGTAGTCACAACACGACCTCTTCAAAGTAATGGAGAGCACAGGAGAGGTTTATCATGTGTGAGGAGACGAGAGAGAGGGGGGCTTAACCACAGTGCCAACCAATACGTACAATGAGAACTAGTGGAGCAGCGGAGACTAATGTGATGTAGGATGATGGGGAGGAGGTGCAGGTGTATCGGAGCGTGTGTTGCCCCACATACTGCCCATCATGCATGTACACCCCCCACCCCCCCATCATGCTCCAATACACCCCCCACCCCCCCATCATGCTCCAATACACCCACCACCTCACCTTCTTTCTTCTACAAACTTAACCTCCTCCACGCATCTCTGACTTTCGCTATATACTGATTTGTCTACACATTATTAACACCATTGTGGTCTACACTGGCGGAGTCTGTCCACCTCCAGGCAGACAATTGCGCCCAAACAAACCTATAAACAACGATAAAAAAACATAATTTGGGAAAAAGGGACATAGCCGAATAGATAAGAGGACCAGGTTCAGTACAACACCTTCACCTAGAATGTTCTTGAGACTTTATTATACCGTCGCCATCCCCATGTGAGGAAGAAACCTCCGCCAACACCACCAGACACACACCCCGCCCACAGTAAGCAAGAGAGCCACAGTTTTGCCAGATACATAAACAGGATACGGCTTGGGTTTATTCAGGTTCCTCCTCCAGGCCAAAATGGCACTTCCTCATCACCTGATCTGACCTCAGTGCCACAATCTGCGTCACAAGGGGAGGGTGGAATGGGGTCATCAACATCACCACGTGACCTATAGTGTCAGCGTGCAATTTTGACCCACATCAGCAGAGCACAGTGTGACCCACAGAGCCAGCGGTCATGTGACCTACAGTACAGTGCTAGGATCACGATGTGACCTAAAGCGCCACAGTACTTAATGACCTAGAATACCAAGGTCACATTATGACCTAATGTGCAAGGATCGCCGTGTGACTTATAGTACCACAGAACTTAATGGCCTACATGACCATAACCACCTTACTAAGTGACCTACACTACACTTACACCAACACGTGACCAATCATGCTAGCGACTCGCCCGCCACGTGACCAACAGTGCCACTCAACAGGTCACACTATTTAATAATACAAAACGCTGCAGTGACCAAGCGAGGGTGTTATCGGTGACACATGACTGGCGTGGTGGGCTTGCATGGTGGGCGTGGTGGGTTGGCATGGTGGGCGTGGTGGGCAGGCATGGTTTGTGTGGGTCGGCGGGCGGGTGCTCGCTGTCAGTGTGGAGGAGGCGCCGGCGGGGTGTGTGACGCTGTGTACCAGACCAGAATAGACCAGTGCCTCCTCCACCATGCTGCTTCACGCCTCCCTCCCTCCCTCCGCCACTTCCTTCTCCTGCCCCTTCTGCTGTTCCTGTTGCTTCTCAAAACTCACCTTGCTGGGCTGGGACACCTGCTGCTGTTGCTGCTGCTGTAGTAGCTGCTGGTGCTGGAGCTGGTGTTGTTGGTGGTGTTGTGGTTGTGTTGTTGGTGCTCCTGTTGTGTGTTGGTGGTGGTGGTGTTCAGCGGTGGTGAGGTGCTGCTGGTGGTGGTCTGTAGGGACGCCATCATCCTTCTTGCACATAGTGTGTGTGAAGGAGGGCGAGTACGCAGGCGACGGGGGAAACACCAGGCAAGGGTCACAAGGTTCCTCCTACTGCTGGTGTTGTTATCGTGGACGGGAAGCGACACTCACACTCTCTCTCTCTCTCTCTTTTTCTCTCACACACACACACACACCACGAAGAGCACAAACACGTCACAGGCGAGTCTCCGGCGCCGGCACCACCACTGTCCCCGCTGTGCTGCCGCTCCCGCCCTCCCCCGTGCCACCACAACATCTACCCCCCCGATCCCCACACGCCCTGGCCACCAGCCACCAACACCACACATGCCCGCGCAGAAATAGACCTTCACCATCCTGAGCTGACACTACCATCCTCACACTCACACACTACCATCCTCCACACACACACACATATACCACCATCCTCCACACACACACTCATACACTACCATCCTCCATACACCATCACACACACACACATATACCACCATCCTCCATACACACACACACATACCATCCTCCACACACACACACACACATATACCACCATCCTCCACACACACACACATATACCACCATCCTCCACACACACACTCATACACTACCATCCTCCATACACCATCTTCCACACACACACACACACATATACCACCATCCTCCATACACACACACACATACAGAAACCATCCACAGAAATAAATACAAAAATATTGTAAACAATGGCCAAACACACACATATACACACAAGTACTGTATACACTTAATGCATGCCAACATACGCACAAACATACCAAAGTGGTTATACACACAGACACACTGGTCGTGAACTCTGTGTGTGTGTGTGTGTGTGTGTGTGTGTGTGTGTGTGTGTGTGTGTGTGTGTGTGTGTGTGTGTTCACTAAATGGAATTGACGAAAAAATTTTGTAATACAAGATAAGGAAACGAGATTTAATCCTTTTTTTATAAATGACTAAACAAATAAATAAATTGAAGGCATCCGCACGTCCTCGCCACAACCATTCGTGCACTGCCCAGTTAACGGAATATCTCCATTAACCAAGAGCCGATTAATACGGTTTCCGATTACCAAAGAACCGATTAATACGGTTTACAATTACCCAGGAGTCAATTAAAACGGGTTCCAATTACTAAGGAACCCCATAATAACAAGACAGTGTTGACAAACAAAAAATTACCTTGGGACATGACAAATAGCAAAGCAATAACAGTTTTGTTTGAAGACTTTTTAAAAGCTGGCGAAAAATAACCAAATACAATATTTACCTTACTGTACACTGCATCGGAACAGTTGGTATGCCTGACTGAGATAAATTATAGCGTAATAATTCATCTGTGACTGGAAGCTCTCACTAGTCTATACATGAAGCATATCATAAATAGAAACATCCCAAAGTGGTTAATATAAATGGTATATATATCACTGAAGATTATTATATTTCTCAGTATTATTAAATTAATCATCTGGAAACTCAGCATCAGTCCTCTCCCACCATCTGTCCAAGAGAGCGTTTGTCGGAAGGCTTGACTATTCCTACTATACGTTCATCCCAAACTGCGATGATACGTTTTGTCGCTCGCTACACAATGAGGCAATGAGACCAATAACCTTAATGGGGCAATAACCGTAATAACGAAGAATTAATGGGTCAATAACGGCAGACCAACGGGAGCAATAACGGGATGAGTTTACGCCGAGACTTCAGCATCAAGGAGACGCCAACCACCCACGAATTCACTAACATTCACCCATCATCCACCTATCTCCTATCACTCATCCATCATCCACAAACAACCCACCCATCATCCACCTATCTCCCCACCACCCACCCACCGTCTACTCATCAACGCAACACCACCCACCACACGCAAGTCATCATGGGTCCTCATCTATGACTGACTGACGAACGGAGATATCACGCCTCTTGAACCCTCATCTGGCCGTATCATGGTCGACGTAGACGTATAATGGGGGAGGATTTGACTGGTTGGCATGGGCGTGTAATGGGTGGGGGTTTGGGCGTGTAATGATGGGTAACACACTGACGCGGGTATTCATTCAGGATAGGAAACATGTAACACTCCTTGACGGCCACGAGTACTTGAACACTACTCATTGATGGGTGGGTGATCTGCGATTCATCTATATCAATCAACAAACAAACACACCATGAAACGAAATCAGATTCTTTGAAGATTAGACACCCCAGTTTATTTCTCCTGATGATTCAACACACTAACGCTACCTGGGTGGGTTAAGGTAAATAGTTAGATTATATTAGGTGAAGTTAGCTTTAGGATACTTTATAAAATAAGGTAAAATAAGTTGGGTGCCTAATCTTCATGTGACCCCTTATATAATAGATAGCTATCATATCACTATAATTAGGTTTAATATATACCGTATATCAAACATATAAGAAGCACTCAAAATAGCCCGAATTAACATTAAGCCTTTTAGAAATCAAAATAAATAGACATTGAAGGAACGAAGCTTACATTACGGGCGGGTGATGGCGTGTGTCGTGGGGCGGCGAGGACAACACGGGTAAGACGCTCGCTGGCCACACTCCCTCCATGTTACACTGACTGTCACCCTCAACCACCTCCCAGAGTAAACTACAATATTTACTAATGACTAACTCACATTCTCGCAATATCCCCCCGCCCCCCTTAATGGACCCGAGCTGGCCCAAGGTGGGGGTGATCAAGTCCTCTCACACGCAGGAGCTACTCACTAAAACTTATCGACATAGTCCATTTCACTGTACCCGCACCAAAGTAAGACAGTAACGTGTTTGTTTTACTCTTGTTTTCCGTCTGCCTTCACCCCGATAACACAGAACTTTTATGACAAAGAATGCAAACTACACTTAACACTTCCGCAGGTCAAGATTGAGGCCAATCTAAGAAATATTTGACCTAAAAGTCACAATGGGTATAGAAGAGCAACCTCCTAATGTAAACACGTACACAAGCCTCACTACCGCTGGGTAAATCGAAGACAAACTCTCTACCACAAGAACCAGACTTTACACACTGCCCGACACGCCGCGGATCCCAACTACAGTGGTCAAACTGTAACAAGCTTGTCCTTCTGTGGTAGTCTTCAAACACGCGTTATATACTAGCCTAAATAACCCAGTGTAGTTGCCATTTTCATTTTTTTCGTCACTGCGTTAACGGGAGGACCACAGCCACGCACCGGCCTTTATGGCAACAATTAATACCTCCTTCACACCTACAGTATACTCATAAACCAACAGTGGCAAACTTTCTCTCCCAACACTGCAGCAGACACAACCCCATCCGTCTCCTCACCCTCTACATACACAACACGACTCCCTCACCAATACTGACAAGCCTCACTATCTACCCTCACACGCTACATCATTCTTGATGCACCGCTACAACACTTACACCCGCCTGCACACACACACACACAACCCTTCTCTTATCACACACACACAGAGCCAAAGGATAGTAACACCAAGGGGGTGTGATTTATCACCTCTCCTTGTCACTATCCAGCTGTGTTGTGAGAGCAAGTGATTGCGTACATGTTTGTGGTTTGCGTTACGCCACTGAAATACCTCTCTTACACACAGCTACACCCACAAAACCCAACAATAAAAATTCTTCCATACAATTAGTCAAGAGACAAATATCCAAGACGACAAAACTCCACCTGGTCCCCCACTGTTATATTAGGTCGGTTGGAATTTGTCCAGCAATCGTATAAACCGGGTTTCCAACCTCATACAATCAAACATTTTAGCCGTCATGCATTTGAGCCTTGTCTCACGTTCACATCTGAAACTCTCACACACTTTTCTTACAAAACTTAAACCATCCCTCAGCCAGATATCAGAACATTCCAACACTGTTATTGGTACAGTATAATTATAATAAATACACGAACAAATAAGAATATATGAATAATAAAGTAAATTTATTTGTGATTTATACACACGTTTTCGTTACTTTCAAAATGTTGAAGAATGAAAGATGGTTTAATTAAACTAAAAATGTTGTGCAGAGGAGGGAGAGGCCCCCAGCAGACTCGCCTTGAATTACTTCCCGCCTCCGGCTATTGTTCTTGATGACCCTCAAGCGCTCGATTTTTTTGCGCGCTTAAAGAGTTTCTCAGTCAAGTCTCAAGAATAATGATTTCACAAAGTTGATGTCTCTGCACATTTTCGGAACAGGACTGATTTAGTACGACAATAAAACTGGATTAAAAAAAGTAATTCAACCGTTGATTAATCCATACACATGATGCAGACCAAACGTTCACGTATTCCGTGATCACCTTTTCTATAAATGAACTGAGGATTAAGCTGGTATTTGTGAGACAGTTAGCTCAGTTACTCACTATACCCATCAAGGATTTATTTTGACTTTTACTAGCATGCCAGTAGTAAAATAAGAGCCAACTAAAGTTTGTGGAAGAAGTAACACCTCAAGCATTATTCCATGTATGTCGATCTGCATTCTCCGCTAAAAAGAAAAAATTATTGGCAAGAACTCGTGGGATGAGAAGTATTTAAGAAAGGAAGTCCATTATCGACAACAAATACCCAAATAAACATTAAATAAGACTGAAGTGGCATCAGATATAATAAAAATAAGTACATAACATAAAATATCAACTGATATCCCGCCATAACCCGCGATGTCATATCAGCATTCAGATCATTATGAATGACAACACGAGACAAGAGCTCCCTAACAAAACCCAGTTACTTGAAACGGTCTGTTCTGTCCTAATTTTACTGGAAAAAAATCTATAAACTGATGTTCTTCAAACCCGGTTCAGCGTTAATATTTGCAAATGGTTCGCTCAAGTCGGCATTCCGTTCTTAGCCAAATCATCAGGTTGAAATATAATCCACTTCGCATATGGAGAAATCACAAATCAAACAGCTTACATCTAATTTCATCAAAATATTCAGGCAGTAATATGTTCTTACGTACAGTATATATTTCACTGACAACCCACCACGACCAACTTCTTGGGTGTAATTCGAAGAAGCATATTTTATGACTCGCTGTCATGCCAAAGTTCACGATTTAATTCAAGGAAGCACGACAATGCACAATGTAGTACAGTATACTTAAGAGTATAAATAGGAGTAATGAGATTTTGCCAGTTATGAAGGTGGATCTGGAAACTTGGTCTCCGCCTACCACACATGTAAACAGTACTGC